CATGCTGTAGATGAGGGGGTTCACTGCGGCAGGCACCACCGAGTAGAGAACTGCCACCACCAGATCTAGAGCTGTGGGAGAGACGGAGGGGGGCTTCAGGTAGGCAACCATACAACTGTGAATAAACATGGAGAGCACAGCCAGGTGAGGGAGGCACATGGAAAAGGCTTTGTGGCGTCCCTTCTCAGAGGGGATCCTCAGCACAGCCCTGAAGATCTGCACATAGGACACCACAATGAACACAAAACATCCAAAAGCAAAAGCGAGACTAAACACAAGAAGCCCAGTTTCTCTGAGGTACTCATCTGAGCAGGAGAGCTTGAGGATCTGGGGGATTTCACAGAAGAACTGCTTTATGACATTGCCTTGGCAGAGGGGTAGTGAAAATGTACTGGCTGTGTGCAGCAGGGCATGGAGAAACCCACTGCCCCAGGCGGCTGCTGCCATGGTGGCACAAGCTCTGCTGCCCAGGAGAGTCCCGTAGTGCAGGGGGTTGCAGATGGCAAGGTAGCGGTCATAGGCCATGATGGTCAGAAGGGAATACTCTGCACCAAAAAAGAAGAATAAAAAGAAGACCTGGGCAACACATCCCGAGTAGGAGATTGCCCTGGTGTCCCAGAGGGAACTGGCCATGGATTGAGGGACAGTGGTGGAGATAGACCCGATATCAAGCACAGCGAGGTTGAGGAGGAAGAAGTACATGGGGGTCTGGAGGTGGTGGTCACAGGCTATGGCTGTGATGATGAGGATGTTGCCCAGGAGGGCAGCCAGGTAGATGGCCAGGAAGAGGCAAAAGTGCAAGAGCTGCAGTTCCCGCGTCTCTGCAAACGCCAGGAGGAGGAACTGGGTGATGGAGCTGCTGTTGGACATTTGGTCCCTCTGGGACTCGGGTGCTGTCCGAGGAGAAAAAGATAGGGACAAGTCAGACAAGCTTGTCTGAGGAAAACCTCTTCTGTTTGTCATCGAGTCTGCCCACATCACCTCTCTTCTTTTCAATAGGACCTTCATGCAGCTTCCCCCCTTCAGATCTTGTTTGCTCTGGCTGAGTGTGCCATGAGCAGCAGGGCCTCATCCAATGGGCTCCTCAGGAATCAGACCTGCTGTTCAGCAGCTGATCCACAGAAGCAGGAAAAAGCCCCCTACATATATTGAGGTGGTCACTGAGGATGCACACTCTGGGCTGAGTGCAGGAGCCTGGGTGCAGTGACCCTGTAGGGAATCGTCTCCATGACCTGGAGGAAAAGAGCACATTAGCACTAGGGCCACCTGCCTCTGGGAAAGTGCCCTGGGAGGGATTTCTCTTCCTTGGTTTTACCGTTCCAAGCAGAGGTGCCTGGTTCTGCATCAGTCACCACTGAGATAGACTCTGTCCTCCCGTCAGTTCACCCTCTGCCTTCCATCTGCAGACGTGGTCACGAGAGAGGGATGGGTGAGGACTGTCCCTCCATGCACATCCTCACTCACCTGAGAGGCCCCTGTCAAGGAGGAAGGCTGCTCAGCATCTTCGTGCTCCGTGCTCCAGCAGATGGGCTGTAGCACAGGGGCTTAGCAATACACCTTCTTCAGTTCTAGATACCCTTGTCAGATCAGGGGCACGTTCTTGGAAGGGGTAGAAATCGTCAGCTTTTGGATTGCTCTCAGCATCAGCATTAGTGAGTCCTGAGTGACATGAGGCTTCCCTTTGCCTTATTGTACAGTCAGGAGAGCTGGTCTCTCCAGCAATCTTGTTCCCGGCTGCCCTGTCCTGCTTCTCTCAGCTGGAGGATGATCACACTCAGGAGTTACTCTGAGAAAGGGACTGGACAGAGACTGGGGGGTTCATGATCCAAAGTTCAAATTCACCAAACTCCTCTCCCTTATCCATGTTGGTCCATGAACTATTTCTCAGTTTTTGTCCATCCCATCCTCTGCGAACCGGGGTCTGCCCTGCAGAAACCTCCTGGTGGCTGAGCAAATGCTGGGGCACCCTCGTGTTTGCTGGTCCAGAGGAGCAGGTCAGAAGAAAACATGCCGTGGCCAGAAACCACGATGCTGCTGCAGTCTTGGACTAAAGAGTGGGTGACAGGTTGTTATCAGGTTTCCAGCAGACCTACTGGTCTGCCAGTCTCAGTCTCATGTTCAAACTGAACATCTTCATTTCCATTTCTCCCCCTTCCCCCATCCTTCCCAGTAGGAGGAAACTGCAAGCACCTTCTCAGGAAAGTTGTTTGTTCTTTAAAGGAATTCCTGACTTGACCTTCCTCTTGAAAAGTCCCCCTGGAAATGTCCTGCGGGGTGATGTGGAGCTCTGAGCTGCCCTAGCCCACACAGCTTCCTCTTGAAAGCAAAAAGAGCCTGCTCTGCTGCAGGGCACTCCTTCCACCCACAGCTTCTCCCCACAGCGCGGTGGGGAGCTCCCCGGGCAGGCGGCAGAGTCCCTGCCCCGGCACACAGCCCCCGGGGGTGCAGGGACCCTGCTCTGAAGGACAGCCCTGGGCACCCCTGGCTGAACACCTGGATTTATTAAACCTCTCCAACTCTGGCCGGGAGAAGGCAGCCGTCATGCCCTGTCCCTCCGAGGGTGCAGCAGGGAAGCTCCGCTCTGGAGCACATCCTCCTCCTCCTCTGCACTAGAGAATCTGTGAGAGCCCTCCTGGAAGATCCCATAGGCTCTTGGATGTGCCAGCTTGGAGAAATCAGTCCAGGAACTGCAGCTGCAGTGCCCTGCAGCCAGAGACTTGCCGTGGGAGAGGCTGTAAAGATTTCTCTCGCAGTGAGCTCTTAGCATTCTCCCTCCCCAACCCGCCTTTAACCTCTCTGTCTCCCTTGTCTCCTCTAAGTGCCCTCAGCCCTGCTGCGCTTGGCAGAGGAGCTGCTCTTGGGCAGAGCTGTCTCTCTGCAGCACTGCCCCATGGCCACGAGCTCCCTCTGTCCCAGGAGCCCAGCCCAGCTCAGCAGCAGGGGACCAGCCCAAGACTTCACTTTTTCTGCCCCTTCTGGGCCCCCTCCAGGTGTCTCTGGGGCTGAAGTAACGAGTGGTGTTTTCTCCCTCAGCTGGGGAGAGACACTTACTTCCAGGAATATAATTTCACTTACCAGAGGCAGATTTAGCTCTAAAAATCATTTTTTCTTGTCCCATTTTTAGACAGGACATCTAGTTGGTGAAAGGCAGGGATCTTCTTTACTCCTTCTCTCCTGCTGAGACAAGAGATTTAGCTGAGTGGCATCTCCTCCAGGGTTTGCAGCCCTGGGGCTTGATGGGGACTCAGCTCCACCCCGTGCCCACCACAAACCCCCAGGAAGTGGGATTTCTCTTGCCTCAGTTCAGGTGTGAACTCCCCTTCATGTGAGCTGCTTATCTCACCTCCCGTGGGAATTAATGGAGCTGAAGGCCAGGAGTAAGCAATTCAGATGCCAACACCTGGTGACATTTGATGTGCCAGAGATGGGCCTGTGGAGGCAACTGCAAGCCCTGACGTGAGACAGGACAGCGTCTGAGAGCATCATTTTTTAGCATGGTGAGGAATTCCTCTGGGCAGCTGAAGTGACAGCAAAGTCCCACATTCAGGACAACAAAACCTATCCCTCCTTGTTATTTTCTGGAAAAGCTCTAGAGACAGCCAGTTGGACAAATGGAGTCACGTGCCATCAGGAGTGCAAAGAATCATAGACTCATAGAATGGTTTGGGTTGGAAGGGACCTCAAAGATCATCGAGTTCCAACCCCTCTGCCATGGGCGGGGACACCTCCCACCAGAGCAGGTTGCTCAAGGCCCCATCCAGCCTGGCCTTGAACCCCTCCAGGGATGGGGCAGCCACAACTTCCCTGGGCAACCTGTTCCAGTGTCTCACCACCCTCAGAGTCAAAAATTTCTTCCTGAGATCTAATCTGAATCTTTTTTCTTCCAATTTAAAACCGTTGCCCCTTGTCCTATCATTACACCTCCTGACAAAGAGTCCCTCCCCAGCTCTTCTATAGGCACCCTGTAGGTATTGAAAGGCTGCTATAAGGTCTCCCCGGAGCCTTCTCTTCTCCAGGCTGAACCATCCCAGCTCCCTCAGCCTGTCTTCATAGGAGAGGTGCTTAGTCCCTCTGATCATCTTGGTGGCCCTCCGCTGGACCTGTTCCAGCCGGTCCATGTCCTTTCTGTGTTGAGGACTCCAAAGCTGGACACAGTATTCCAGGTGGGGTCTCACAAGTGCAGAGTAGAGGGGCAGAATTCCAGAATTCCAGTCAAAGATGTCTGTGTGTTCCGGATCTGGCTGGGATAGAGTTGTTTCCTCACAGAGCCTCCAGGAAGCTGCAGGCTCTCTCTGGAGGATGCTCTCTGGAGGATGTTCTCTGCCCCATCACCAGTGGGATGACCCTTGGTTGGTTCCTCAGTGACTTGGTTGGTTCCTCAGTGACTATTCCTGGCCACTGACAGATGATCACAAACCAAATGCCCGAAGCAGAGGAGGTTGTTGAGATGAACTGGAAGTCACTTGAGAAGACAGAGGAGAGGGGCAGCTCAATGCTGCTCAAAGACAAGTGATTGAATCAGCTTCTTCAGTGTGTCTTTCAGCTCCTGGTTCCTCATGCTGTAGATGATGGGGTTCAAGGCTGGGGGCATTACTGAGTATAGAACGGCCACCACCAGATCCAGCAATTGGGAGGAGGTAGAGGAGGGCTTCAAGTAGGTGAACATGCCAGTGCTGACAAACAGGGAAACCACGGCCAGGTGAGGGAGGCACATGGAAAAGGCTTTGTGGTGTCCCTGCTCAGAGGGGAACCTCAGCACGACCCTGAAGATCTGCACGTAGGAGGGACATGAGAGGGATTTGGCCATAGATTGAGGGACGGTGGTGGAGGTAGACCTCATATCAAGCACAGAGAGGTTGAAGGGGAAGAAGTACATGGGGGTGTGGAGGCGGTAGTCGCAGGCTATGGACGTGATGATGAGGATGTTGCCCAGGAGAGCAGCCAGGTAGATGGCCAGGAAGAGCCA